AAACCACAACCATACATACAGTACATTACATCCAATACATTTAGCAGAGGTAGGAAGTGCTAACAATATAAAAGAAATAAACATATAGATGCAGATCGTTCGTAACTTCCTGGGTGTTCACATGTCTGCTACGGTTGCCAAAAATTAAAACTGGGGACACCCTACTGACTATGCCCATTTTCTAGCCACAACCACAAAAAACATGCCCCCATTTTTAATGGAACCAATTGGTCGTAGACCAAAAATGTATACATATACTTATGAAACCCTTCTGGACTGCGGGGGCGAGGAACATCATGTCCCTCTTTCTCATCTCAGAAAGCTGGAAGGTATGCTCTGCCTCCATATACCTCCTTAGGTCTCCATTGGCAAGGTAATCCAAAAATAGTTCCTGGCTCTGATCCTGACAAACTTGGAGAGTTGGGTGACCCCATGCCTCCTTTCTTCTCTTTCTGTAACAAAACGTTAATACAAAATCCAGCTGGGAGAGTGGAAGCCACATGTAAAGTGGTTAGCTAATAGGTTAAACCATTAATCCATCGCAAACCTCCTGCTCCTGTCCTTCCCTTCCTGTTCACCCACCTGAGGCAAATAAGATACCTGGTATTTCCAAATATGGGGGAGAGATGGACTCTCTCCGATTCTTTCCACAATGCATCGCTGGGTAGCTGAGTTGCCAATTCCCAGACTCAACCACTGTCACATGGTAGTGGGAAGGTGATCCTTAGCCCTGTGTAAGGTATAACGTTACTAAAGTGCCAGCTCCAGGCCCACCACTTTAAATAGGCTTGGCCATGACAATCAGGACTGGCTGGGCTGAACACACTTAGGCAGAGGCGCCATCGGCTCTCTAATCAGGCATATTAGGTGGCCGCTTGCTGGGGCTTCATAAGGCCGCCTCTGATGCTTCCTGACCGACCGACAGCACCGGGCCCATGATGCTCTTAATCTGCCCCACACCATACCAGTCAGGAGTTTGCACGGGGCTTTTTCTCTTTCCTCTGGCAAGCAAATAAGGCAGAAAAGGAACATAGGAAAGGTATAAGCAGTTGGGGGAAAGGCTTGGGAGGGTTATTAGGGGAACCTGTTATTTTAATTCTTTGCACCTCCTGTAATCATCAGCTTTGAGAATGGGACAGAAGGATAAGTGATGTAGCCAATCAGTCTTTAATGCATCGAACAGTGCCATAGATCTATCAAATGGAGCTCGCCGGTTGGAGGAGGGAGCACAGAGCTTCAAACATTTGTACCTTCATTGTCAAGCCACAGCCTAAACCCAGTTACTTTGCTTTGACTGGACTGGTGAAAAGGAAACGGCCAGGTTATGGTGTCTGGTGGCAAGGTCTGGATTGGAAAACCATATGAACATGATTTAAAATATGTTGGCAGGTGACACAGTATACAAATATGTTCTGTAACTGTATACTAAGATGTTAGCCTACACCTACTCTTTAAAGCAACCACGTACTGAGAGAAATAAGGGATCTGTCATTGCTGACCTATCTTAAATTCAGCTGTTTTCTGGCTGGTCACATGACATCGCAGGATCTTCTTTTTGTCCGATATTGGGGGTAGGTGATCCTTGTAATGACAGATGAGCTCATGTAATGACAGATGAGAGCTGTTTAATGAACCAGTACAGTGAACCCAAGTTGGAGTGATGATGCACCCTATGGGGGCAGATTCATGACAGCCAGTTCAGGTTATCTTGAATCCACACATTGGGGTGCACCATTATGCCAACTTGTACTGCAACACTACTGCAACACTAAACGGACTCATATGTGAACACACAGCAAATAGGTTGAATGAATGAAGCTGGCCATCATTCCACCCCGAAGAATGGAAACTTCCCTGAAACCTAAGTCCTGCTTTCTTATGATAAAAAGGTTGTGCGTTTCCGAAAAAACACACCAATAGCCTGAATTCACACCTGAGTGTTGGGTTTTTTTAGGCATTTTTTTTTAAAGCACAACTGAGCGTGTTTACATGCATATATGAGCATTTTAAAGTGTTTTTGAGCATTTTGCAGGTGTTCAGCTTCAGGCGTTTTTCTATTTGGCCCAATGGAAAACAGTAGCATCTGGGAAATCATGCAATAACACCCAGAAAACGCTCCAAAAATGCATAATAAATGCTTGTGATGCATGTTTTAAGGCATTTCTAATGAAGTCTACAGGGACAAACACACTGAAATCTTCCCGAAAAGAAGCTCATGTCCTTTTTCAAGCTACAGATTTTTTGCTAGGCAACAGAATGTTCATATGTGAACAGGGGTCATAGAAAACCATGCGATTCCCTGTGTTGAGTGTTTTGTAGCCTCGAGCTACAAAAGGCCTAGGTGCTAACTGAGCCTTTTACTGCATATTGTGACATGTCAGGAGTTTATTCATGCCAGGTTATAAAATTACCGAAAAGTCCACCTTAAATAGATACAGAAGCCAGAAGCTGCAAATAATGTTTCCACTAGGCATGAGCTCGATGGTCGACGTGAGTTCGACTCAAACATCAGCAGTTTGTGTGCTTGGCAAACACACAGCCCGCCGAGCGCCCCACAAGGCACTGCACCTTGTGAAGCCCTGATTGGCTAAAGCCTTGCACCTGACCACACCCCCACAACCAACGCCCCAGGGCTTGTGGAGAAGAGGCCCTTGTCCCTATCGGCATGGGGACAAGTTGATTTTCCAGGGGCGACCCTGGAAAAGCACCCTCCCAGAGGGCATGTGGCCTGGTATCGCAGGGAGGGGAGGGGGGGGCGCTCTATCGCCCCCCCCCCCTTTCCTGCCCTGCCAGGCTTGTGCTCGGATCAAGGGTCTGGTTAGACCTTAAGGGCCTGGTATGACTTTCAGGGATGAACCCTACACACTTTTTTTTTAGTTTTTTATTTACATGAGGTCCCTTCTAAAATTCCTACCAGACCTTCAGGGTCTGGTATGACTTTTGGAGGGGAACCCCACACTTTTTTTTCTTTCTTTTTTTTTTTTCAAATGGGGTCCTTCCTAACATTCTTACCAGACCTAGAGGGTCTGGTATTGTTTGGGAGGGGGAACCACACGCTTTATACAAATGTAATTTTTGCTGCAGCAGGTTCTATACATTGTACAGATGTGCCACTTTGCAGGCAGTTCAAGGGGACCCCCCAGGCACAATATTTAAAGGGATTTTTCATTTTTATTTATTTCCTTTAAAGGATTTCTAAAGCCTCCGTTTTAGTTTTTTTAGATATATCTACTCCTAGCAAGCAGTAGATATAGGCAAAAAGTTTAAAAATGCTTTAACAGCGGTTTAAACCTACCCTGTCTTCGCCACGCGCTCCCGTCTGAAATCCGAAACTGCTCCGGCGGCCGCAAAGCATCTTGGGGTGGGCGCATGCGCAGTTCGGATTTTCGGCCGGGAGACGAGGAGAGACGCAAGGTAAGTGTATGGACGCGTGCACCCCGCATGCAGACACCGTGGGATCAGAAGTGCCAGCAAGGACAGAGGAGTCAGCGCTGGATCGGAGAGCCGCCGCACCGCTGGAGGGACACATGAAAACATCAGGAAAGAAGAAGATCGGATAAAGAGACATCATTTATTTTTTTAAGTGCTGACATTAACATTGGGGGGGGATTTATTTGACTCTAATGTCACTTTAAGTGATTGTCAAATCACTGCTCCTTTAAAAGCGGTTTTAAACAATAAAAAAATGTCTCCCCAGGGCAGAATCTCCGTACACCTTTTATGGCCAATAAATTGCAACTTGTTACATTGTTCATCATCCAGGATCCTCATAGCCTGACTTGTTACTTTGTTCATCAGCCAGGATACTCATTGCTTAACTTGTTACATTGTTCATCATCCAGGGTAAGGGTACCCATAGCCTGACTTGTTACAATGTTCATCTTTCAGGATATTCATAGCCTGACTTGTTACATTGTTCATCAACCAGGGTACTCATAGCCTGATTGTTTATATTTTTCATCATCCAGGATACACATTACCTGACTTGTTACATTGTTCATCACCCAGGATCCTAATAGCCTGACTTGTTACATTGTTCATCATCCAGGATACCCATAGCCTGACTTGTTACAATGTTCATCATCCAGGGTACCCATAGCCTGACTTGTTACAATGTTCATCATCCAGGGTACCCATAGCGTGATTTTTTAAATATTTTTCATCATCCAGGATACATATTAACTGACTTATTCCACTGTTCATCACCCAGGATCCTCATAGCCTGACTTGTTACATTGTTCATCAACCAGGATACTCATAGCCTGATTTTTTATATTTTTAATCATCCAGGATACACATTGCCTGAGTTGTTACATTGTTCATCATCCAGGGTACCCATAGCCTGACTTGTTACATTGTTCATCATCCAGGGTACCCATAGCCTGACTTGTTACATTGTTCATCATCCAGGGTACCCATAGCCTGACGTGCTCCATGGTTGCTGCGCTCCGGTGGTGTCCGGGCTCCGGTCCCCGGTGTTTTTGCATGTGCCCATCTCTAGTAGGAGCCATCTGGTCACCAGTGAGCCTCCGGAAGAGGATCTCTCTCCATCACCTCCTCCTCTTCCACCTAGCTGTGACCAACGCATGCTCAGCTGCCTGCACTCAGCATCCTCCTCCTCCCCCATCTCTCTCCAGCTGCTGCTGCTGCTTGTCACCGATCGCCTCTCTCCAGCCCCCCTTTTAGCTCACGATCAGGGGACACCTTGCACCGTCCGTGGGGTGCAAGGGGGGAGGGGGGACTATCCACACCAGGGGAGGGTTGGGGGGTATTTTGCTCCCATAGCACCAAAGCTGGAATGTCCCTCCAGGAACAGGCAGCCCCGGTTGGAAGTATCACTTTGTACGGATGCTCTTTTATTTCTAGCATAATGTGTGTCACCAATTCCTCCAGCAGCTTCATTTAGGGGCAGATCTGCAGTTTTTTTAACATTTTTTATTGCCCCCCCCCCTTCCCCCTCCTGTCCCCCCTCCCTCCATCCTCTTCTCCATGTAGATCTGTGATTTAAAGGCTCGCTGCAGATCCGTGTGATTTATGTTCTATGTCTCAGCACCGAGCTGCTTGAGGTTCAGTATTTGCTCATCCACCAACATGTCTGCTCCTCTCGGGCCCAAGGGCGGCCCTCTGCCTCCTGCACAGACCATCCTGCCCGAGATGCCGGACCTCAGCCACCTGACAGAGGACGAGAGGAAGACCATCCTGGCCGTCATGGACCGGCAGAAGAAGGAAGAGGAGAAGGAGCAGTCTGTACTCAAGTAAGCATGTCTTTCCTTCTTGGCCAGAGCCAAGGCTGCAATGTATGACAGGCTCCTCCTGCACTCTAGTCTAATGATGCCTTGTGATCAACCCACCCTCATATACACTCACACACAGGTCTACAATGTCTTCTCATGTCTCCTACACATGGCTGATGTTGATGCTTCTAGATGCATAGGTGCTGGATGGGGTGCAATGATCAGATCTGGAATGGTGGTACCCCCCCTATCCCCATCCCAATCCCCATTCTCATCCCCTCCTCCTTCTCCATCCACTGATCAATACAAAAGGCCTGATAGTCCCCAGCTGCTGTGCTCTGGTTCATTTGGAGCGGTGTGTCTATCTATGTCTTGATGTTGTCAATGGCTCCCCCCTTTGCCCCCCCGGTAGGGCTGCTTGATCCGGTTGACGGGCGCTGTGATTGCTTATGGATTTGTTGATCTGTGTCCATGTTTGTGGATACATGTGTTCCCTCTCTTCTGTGATTTTGTATCCAGGTCTAGGCTGGAAGGAAAAGCAAGGGAAGGAAGGGGGGGGGGTTTGAGATACATCATGGCTGCATACAGGTTCAATGGTTGCATTGGCTACATGCCTGGTCAATCAGGAGGCCAAGATAAGCAGCACTGTCCTTAAAGTAGATGGAAGCCTTAGTTGGATGGCGTTTGGCTTGCTGTTGGTCTAAGTATTATAAACAATTGCATCTAAACAATAGTGTTTTTCATCCTTTTTTAGCATCATGGTGCTGTGCAGCTTCTGCAGTCACTTTGCAGTCACTTCCTGTCTGCATGCTTGCATTCTGGCGGCAGCCATGTGTCATTGCTTGGGCGACAACCTTTTTGAATTACGGTGCTGCGGAGCTTCTGTAGTCGCTTTGCAGCCACTACCTGTCTGCATGCATGCACGGCAGTCACATGTCATTGCTTGGGTGAAAACCTTTTGCATCACAGTGCTGCGGAGCTTCTGCTGTCACTTTGTAGCCACTTCCTGTCTGTATGTCTGCATTCCGCCATCAGCCGCGTGCCATTCTTCAGGTGACAATCTTTTGCATCACAATGCTGCGGGGCTTCTGCAGTCTCTTTGCAGCTATTTCCGGTCTGTATGCGTGCACTCCAGTGGCAGCCGTGTCTTATTGCTCTGGTGATACCCTTTGCATCACATTGCTGCGACGACCACTTCCTGTCTGCATGCATGCACTCCAGCAGCTGCTGCATGTCATTGCTCTGGTGGCAATGGCGGAACATGCCTTTGCCGTGAGCTGCTTGTAGCCTATACTGGGTGACCATGTGATCGGGTGACAACACGGTAGCACGTTTGGTAGACAGGGGCAAACGTTGTCACCCTATAACAGGAGCTGTCTGCATATGGACTGTTGTGGCAGTATCACAAGGTATATCTTGTCATAAAGCTGCAGTTTTACAAAAATTAAAAATGACTCTTGAAATGATATCAACGTGATGAAGATTATATGAGATTTTAGTGATTGAGTTTAAATCCACTTGAAGGTGTTGTGATTGTAAAGGAAAGTGCTCTGATTTAAGCTGACAGCCACAAACCTGTGCTGTTCCCCTCTGATAGTGTTGAGGCCTAGCACACAGAGGCTTTGGGTGGGTTATAACAGCTGCCATCTTTTTCCACAAACACATCCGAAGCCCAGTGCTCCGTTCCCGGTATGGCCTGAGCTCTGAGATGAGGATGTGGAAGGAATCTGCATCAGTAGGGGGTCACCAGCAATGGCTATAGGGGGAGATGGATTGGAGATGGTGTGCCTGGGAAGTGCACATCCACTTCAGCACCATGGAGCTGTCCACCAGCACAGCCGCTGCCTCTGCTCCCAGCCTCCTCTGCTGGATGACTGATATCTGTGAGGGCTGATGTCAAAGTCCATGTGAGTGTCAGCTAATGCGGAAAAGGTGTGTGTAGACCAGGGGTGGCCAACTGCGGCCCTCCATGCTGTGCTTTAACTACAAATCCCAACAAAACTCAGGGAGTCATGCCTGTAACTGTAAGACTTGCAATGCCTAAGGGGACTTGTAGTTCCACAACAGGTAGAGGGCCAGAGTTGCCCACCCCTGTATACTGGAGAAAGGATGTAAAGAACCTGGAATAGGACCAGAATATGGAGGGAATTTAGTGTAAAGGCACCTCAAATAATGCAAATAAATAAAATTATCTACGTAACAGATTAGTGTTATCATGTTATAGTTTTTATTTTGTAAATTTTGATACTACAGTTGTATCGGTATCGGTGAATCCCTAATATATCCCTAGTCTATCTATCTATCTATCTATCTATCTATCTATCTGTCTGTCTGTCTGTCTGTCTATCTGTCTGTCTCTCCCTCTCTCTCTCTCTCTCTCTCTCTCTCTCTCTCTCTCTCTCTCTCTCTCTCTCTCTCTCTCTCTCTCTCTCTCTCTCTCTCTCTCTCTCTGTAATTGTTGGCAATTGGGTAACTGTGTAAATAATTGTTGAGTATACAGTCAAACTAATTATTTGACAGTGTGTTGTGCAGCCACAGGTCAATAAGTATTTATCAGCAGTGCTGGACAAATCTCAGAATTGGGTGGATTTAGTAATCCCAGGTTAGCTTTGATAAGACTTGCTTAAAGGAGTTGAAGAGTCCCAGCATATACTATACTGTTATAACATCAGCATTGTAATATGAATACATGTGTCTGTCTACATGTGTCATACATCTGTCTGCCCATCACTTTCACCAACTTCCTGGATTCCCAGTGTGCTTTGCATCTCTTTCCCTGGTGCTTGATGTGATACAATCCCACCATGCATTGCTCCCAGAAAACAATGATAATGCTACATTGTCTGCATTTCCTGTGTTCACTTTGAGAGAGGGGGGGAAGAGTTAAGTTGTAGTTTAGACAGCATGCTTTCTGACAGTGGTGACGCATGGAAGTGCATATTCACAGGGCTGTGAAATTGTGTCAGTACATTGAGGAAGTACATTCTATGGGGATCATAGAAGTAAGTAATAAGTAAGTTTCTAAACTTCTAGATAGATATGGTTATTAGGAGCGGTATTGGACTTATGAAAATTCAATATAGAATTACATATTTATTTTTAGTTTTTGACCATAAATATCCTTTAATGCGTGATCCTCAAGCTGCCTACAGACGCAAGATGAACCATTTTTCTATGAACATGTAAGCTTGCACTGGTTACAGTTGGATATAAAATCAGTAGTGAAGAGCCCTGTGAGCTCCCGTTGTTTTAGGGAAACTCTGTCTCAACTGTGTGTTATCCCCTCAGTGGCTAGCCCCCAAGTCGTGTGTAATCCTCTCAGTGGCCATTCCCCAGGCTGTGTGTTATCCCCAGAGTGGTCAACTTTCCCCCAAACGGGCTCTGCCAGATAGTGTCGGGTCTATAAACATACAAATATTGTCAAAGTCTCTAGGCACTTTAACATGGCCATGCTTGTTTATTAGACTCGCCTAAAAGGGGCTTATCACTGTATACCAAAAGTCCCGGGCCCAGATCCCTCCTTCATCCCACTGCTGCTTCAACTGATTGACTGATTTGTCACAGCAACTCAGGGGAAATTGGACTATGTTGAGCACAGGTCACCACAGGGTCATGTTTACTCAAAGAACACCCTGCAAAGGCATGGTTCTATACTTATCTTTCCAGTGATTGTCTGTTAAAACTCCACCGATTGGCTGTTTTTTTGGCCATGGCAGGTATTTGACCATTGGGGATGTTAAATAATTGTTACCCCTGCCACATGCTGTGGTTTCTCCCATCAGCTTGTACTTCCTATAGAGATGTACAAGCCAGCAGGAGGAACCACTTTGTGCTGAGGAGGAGCAACTATTCTACAAACCTAGAAATGTAGAATACCTGCTGGGCCCAAGGGAGATGCAAAGCAGCCACTAATTTAAAGACCAACTCTGGGTAGAATAAAAATTAAGCCTTCCAGTGGAGTTTCCCCTGCACTGCAAGGGTTAAGTGCTTGTTTTGGTCTAGGGTATAAAAAAAAAAAGATATACTCACCGAATCCTTGGTCCTGCCTGGCTGCTAGAACAATTCCGGCAGTCTAAGGACCCATTGACGTAATCACGTTCATTCACTTGTATTATATGTGAGGACGTTGAGGGACATTCCACCGCCAGAGTGGAGGGAAAGAGAGAGGTGAGCAGTCATCGCTGTGGGACCAAGGGTCAGGTGAGAGTATCTTTTACACCCTAGAAACAGAACGAGCACTTAACCCTTGCAGTGCAGGGGCAGCCCCACTGCAAGGGTTAATTTAGGGCTGCTAGAATGGTATGGTAAGCTTATCTTTTATAAGGGTGTTCTTTGGATGCAAGTGACCCTGTGGTTCAAAGTGACTCTGACACTAAAATTCAAAATAAATGTTCCCTTGCAAAGAAGACATTGAGTACTCTCCTCTCCTTCTACCAAAGTTGACAATCTCAGCAGTAAATAAACTATCGTCTGAAGATTCTGCAGGATCTGAAATATATATCTATATCTATATATACATATATATGTATATATAGATATAGATATACAGTATATAGCAAAATAGTTTTAGATACTTGGACACTATAGAGCAGGCACGATCCACCAATCCAGTGCCCAAATAGCTGACACAGCCTCCTAAACATGCTTCTGGTTCACTTCCTTCTGCCATTTGTGCCTTTCTGTTGGCTGCCCTTGGTGACTGGCATTCACACATCACACTGGCCAATATGGAAGCAAGGTGAAGAGTGCAAAATTGGGCGGTCCAACAGAGTAACTTAGAAGCTGTGGTTGCTATTAGTGATATGGGTTATGGGGATCCCAGGTCTCAGTGAAGATCATCTAAGGATGCAGGTACCTGGAGGAACCTGCTTTAAATACCTTTTTATTAGGTAAGAGTCCCCCATGTATTCTCTAAGTTGTCTGAAGTCTTTAAGCAATAATAAGAAGCTCTCTTTTGCTGCGGCCTCAACTTATGCTCTCTCTAACGCTGTATAAGTAGGGATAAATTAGTATATAATACT